CTGCTTGTTGGTCTTGATAGAGCATTTTAATGAGCTGCACTATATGTGATGGAAAGCCCATATTCCTCATGATTTCCCAAAGCTTCTGATGTTGTACACAGTCAAATGCTTTTGAATAATCCACAAAACATAAGAACAGATTTACATTAAATTCTCTACACTTCTCTATTATTAAACGCATGTTGAATATATGATCTCTTGTTCCTCTTCCCTGTCTAAATCCAGCCTGAGCTACATTAATCTCTTTTTCCATTTTCTTATGCAGTCTTCTCATTATAATTTTTAGTAGAATTTTACTTGCATGACTGATCAGGGCAATAGTTCGATAGTTTGTACATAATTTCAGGTCACCCTTTTTTGGTATTGGAATGAAGATAGTTCTCTTCCAGTCTTTTGGCTAAATACCATATTTCCATATCTTTTCACATAATATATATATATATATATATATATATATATATATATATATATATATATATATATATATATATATATTCTTAGCATCAGGAAAGGACAGGAAAGCATGGAAAGTCCTCTCTGAAGCCTCATGTGCCACTAAGCAGCGACGGGGATGCACCGTCTTTAAAACAAAATCCGCCAGTCTCGCACAAACCCATTACTAATGTCGACGCGATCTATAGGACTCGCGTCATCTGCAACTTTAGCAAAACTGGCCAGTCTATCAACTCTTTTATTGCCACCAGTACATGTATACCCGGAAAAAGATAAAGGTAACTCTTCGCACGATAGACTCGACGCACTGCCAGCGTTATTTATAAAAATAATTTTTAATATATTAAATGCAATAAATAAGACATAACCAAGTTCAACTTAATCATATTAAAGAACTTTAAAAAACAAATTAAATGCTATTGCCAATACCCTGTGGAGGTGACAAGTTCAAATGTTTGTGTGATTTATAACTGTTAGCACCTCTGATGCCTAGTGTGTTACACCTTCCTTTCACCCCCTCTCTTTAAACAATCATCCTAATCCCTTATACTGAATGTGTGTGATCGGATGTGACCATCCCCTCTGACCTCCCATGGCAGTGTGTTTTCTCATGAGAGTGTCTGTGTGTGAGGTCAGATGCCGACCACTCTCTCTCTCTCTCTCTTTCCTTTTCTCCCCCTCCCTTTCCCCCGGCCCCAACTTTCGATGACAGAGGATGATCAATAAACCAAACATTTATGGAGACCATTTCTGCGTTGCTAGAATCAGATCACGTGACCGGCAATCATCTCTAGCAACAACAAGATGGCGGAAAGCAGACGACCTGTCCCAATGCTGGTCTGGTATCTCATCTCTCTGTCACTGTCGGCCTACGTTTGTCTTTCTGTCTGCCAACTGTCAGGTTTTAGCACATCCACGGCCATAGGTTGATTTTTTGTCAACTGTTCAGTGAACAAAATAGGGTATTATGTAATATACGTTTAGTTGCAGTTTATGATAAAGTTATGAAATCTGATCTTATTCTTAGTCTAAGTTTAAAGTTAGGTTAGGTTTAAATGTTAACGATCTGTTGATATTCAGTTTTTTTTTTTTTAAATTACTGTATAGTTTACTAAATTCAAAACGACATTCGGTCATTCATCTAGTACATTCCTGCCTAGGAAGACATGTTATTCCATGTGTTAGTGCCTTAAAGTGGCTTACTTAAAGCACAATGTTACCGAATGTATTTAGTACAGCACAACTGACAAAGAAGATATTTTTTTTTTTACGTTGTGGTTGTACATTGATATTTTTTTCTGCTAGCGCGTGTTACTGACAGAAAGAAAGTGGTTTCCAATAAACAGTAAGTATTGTCATGCTGTTACATGCTCGGTGCTTCCGTCAGTCAAGTCTCATTGATCTCCTCTAATGTGATTGCTTCAATGTAGAATGCACAGAAATATGAGTTAAATTATTTATATATAGTTATATTATACACTGTACATACTTCTACAACTGTGAGTTTGTGATGTGTGGATACTGGATGCTTGTGATGTGTTGATACTGGATGTTTGTGATGTGTGTAGTTACTGGACATTTGAATTGTGTGGATACTGAAAACCGGATGTTTGTGATGTGTGGATACTAGATGTTTGTCTTGTGTGGATGTTGGATGTTTGTATTTGCATTGTGTGGATGCTGAATGTTTGTGTTGTGTGGTTTGTGTGGATACTGTATGTTTGAATTGTGGGGATGCTGGATGTTTAAAATGTGGAAATGCTAGATGTTTGAAGTGTGTGATACTGGATGTTTGTGTTAGGTGAATTCTAGTTGAAGAAATTTTTGGATACTGGATGTTTGTGTTGTATGAATAGTGGTATGAAATGTTTGGATATGGGATGTTTGAAATATGTGGGTACTTTGTGTTGTGTGGATGCTGGATGTTTGTGATGTGTGGATACTCATTGTTTGCATTATTTGGATGTTATATGTTTTGGATAGATGGGAGCTGGATGTTTGGGATGTATGTTATGAGACAGAAACAGAAATTGTCATCCAGCACTGATGTCTGGTACTTAGGACATGCCCGTTTTTGTGTAGTTATGTAACTTCAGCATCTTTATTACCCCACAGATATCATCGCCAGGGGTGCAGTCTCCTGCCCTAGGTCTCACAGGGAGGATTGGTATACAGGAGACCAACTCTGTCACTGGCGAGAATACCACTGTGTATACATTACATGAAATCTCTATCGCTGGCGAGAATACCACTGTGTATACATTACATGAAATCTCTATCACTGGCGAGAGTTCCACTGTGTATACATTACATGAAATCTCTATCACTGGCGAGAGTTCCACTTTGTATACATTACATGAAATCTCTATCACTGGCGAGAATACCACTTTGTATACATTACATAAAATCTCTATCACTGGCAAGAATACCACTGTGTATACATTACATGAAATCTCTATCACTGGCGAGAATACCACTTTGTATACATTACATGAAATCTCTATCACTGGCGAGAATACCACTTTGTATACATTACATGAAATCTCTATCACTGGCGAGAGTTCCACTGTGTATACATTACATGAAATCTCTATCACTGGCGAGAGTTCCACTGTGTATACATTACATGAAATCTCTATCACTGGCGAGAGTTCCACTGTGTATACATTACATGAAATCTCTATCACTGGCGAGAGTTCCACTGTGTATACATTACATGAAATCTCTATCACTGGCGAGAGTTCCACTTTGTATACATTACATGAAATCTCTATCACTGGCGAGAATACCACTTTGTATACATTACATGAAATCTCTATCACTGGCAAGAATACCACTGTGTATACATTACATGAAATCTCTATCACTGGCGAGAATACCACTTTGTATACATTACATGAAATCTCTATCACTGGCGAGAGTTCCACTGTATACATTACATGAAATCTCTATCACTGGCGAGAGTTCCACTGTGTATACATTACATGAAATCTCTATCACTGGCGAGAATACCACTGTGTATACATTACATGAAATCTCTAACACTGGCGAGAATACCACTGTGTATACATTACATAAAATCTCTATCACTGGCGAGAATACCACTTTGTATACATTACATGAAATCTCTATCACTGGCGAGAATACCACTGTATACATTACATGAAATCTCTATCACTGGCGAGAATACCACTGTGTATACATTACATGAAATCTCTATCACTGGCGAGAGTTCCACTGTGTATACATTACATGAAATTTCTATCACTGGCGAGAGTTCCACTGTGTATACATTACATGAAATCTCTATCACTGGCGAGAATACCACTGTGTATACATTACATGAAATCTCTATCACTGGCGAGAGTTCCACTGTGTATACATTACATAAAATCTCTATCACTGGCGAGAATACCACTGTGTATACATTACATGAAATCTCTATCACTGGCGAGAATACCACTGTGTATACATTACATGAAATCTCTATCACTGGCGAGAATACCACTGTATACATTACATGAAATCTCTATCACTGGCGAGAATTCCACTGTGTATACATTACATGAAATCTCTATCACTGGCGAGAGTTCCACTGTGTATACATTACATGAAATCTCTATCACTGGCGAGAGTTCCATTGTGTATACATTACATGAAATCTCTATCACTGGCGAGAGTTTCACTGTGTATATATTACATGAAATCTCTATCACTGGCAAGAATACCACTGTGTATATATTACATGAAATCTCTATCACTGGCGAAAGTTCCACTCTGTGTCTAGCTGCTGAAGAATTGATCTGTGACACCTCTAACATTTGATATTCTACATTCACCTGTTTCAGCTCTTGTCAGTTTACTTGTTGACTGAAGTCCGTGTTTCTAATTTGATACTAACTTGTTTTTGTGCTTGTATATTTCAGCATAAGAAGCATTTGTCCCCAGAAATGATGTTCATGTGACCCAAAGTGGAGTATGGCATGCAGAATTCTAGAAGTGTAATTACAAGTCCAGCAGGTGGCTCTGGTGTTTTGTCTGCAGAACAAGTTACATTTGGAAGTTAAAACCTGACTTCTTTCAGAAATGGGTTTACACTAGTCTACACTGAATCATTGTCTTCAGAAAGAGATGTCAGTTTATTAACAGTTGTAATGACCAGTTTGAGTGTTCAAAGTTTGAACATTGCAGACATCAGCACTTGTATCAGTCGGCCTCAGCTCAGACAGTTTATTTCTGCCAGCCTTAGGAACTTTATTTGCACGGAATATTTCACTGGCATACTCCATTTTGTTTTAGACATGCTGGACTATATTCAGAATTTCTTTTGGCGTGAAACTAATTTAGTAGGCAGTGTAATGATAACAAGACCTTATAATCCAGCCATCTGGTGAGAATGACACTCAGTCTGCAATATTAGACTGTTAATAGGGACAGGCTTTCTGTAAGTGACCTGTTTCATTCTAGTGATTGCAAACATTTGCGCTTGACTGTGTAGAACAGTAACTGAGGTCAAGGCGACAACGGTTGGTGATAACTGTGCAAACATGAACCGCTATCATATGTCCAAGCAGCTGGGAGATGGCACCTATGGCAGTGTACTGCTGGCTATGACAGTGGAAACCAACGAGAGAGTAGCCATCAAAAAGTGAGGCCATGCTTGTTTATATTTGTTTGTGTCTGTGTTGTGTGTCAGATGTGTATTTAATGAAGAAGATATTTATATTTGTGTGTCAAATGGTTTGATATCGGATGAGTTAAAACTTGGGAATGGGATATTCCCTGCTAGTCACAAGGACTAACGAGAGTCACTGTGAGTCTAGTTAAGTCACCTGGAGTAAGGGTGAACTGACTGTGTAACTCAGGGTGAAGCCTCAATCCAGCTTCTAATTTTTGTGCCATTACTACAAGTAGATTGTCATTTTACAGCATGTCCTGAGTATGTGTAAATCAGATGGCGTTGTGTGTCTGCAGATGAGCATGATTGTAGCTGGCAGATGGCTTGCATGTCAGCACTAATGACTGTGTAATAGACTTGCAGGTCTTTAGGTAGCAACACTGTTTTATCTGCTTTCCCAGGCTGCAGTTTCAGACTAATCCTATGGATATGTTGAGCTTATGCTCTCAGTTGCCATTGGTTTATGGTGATGATGAGGTGCAAGGTTCTTCATGTGTTACATATTCATTTTACGTGCCAATGTACATGAGCGTCCGTACCACTAAACGTATATGTGAAAGTTTGCAGCGGTGTGTGGGTCACTCCTTGTATGAACTTGTGTGGCTCATGTGCTAGGAACTTTAAATTACTTCAGTTAATGGACATCTGATCTGATGTAACTGCCAGGGTTGACATTACTGCTGAGTGGCTCAATGTTGGTCCCTTGAGAGGTCTTATATCAACCTTAGCCTAGAGTCAGCCACTGCAGTTTTACAGCAGCCTGCAATTTTATGTCAGTTAGAAATTGTGATAGCAGTGTGAGAAAATTAATACTAAGTCAAATTACTTATTTAGTATATTGAGGCAAAGTGAAGAAGCTGCAGTCTTCTGAACAAATCGGTCATGCGTAAACCACATATTCGCCCTCAAAGTATTCATTGAAGAATCTGTAGATTTTCAGTCACACTTAATCATCAACTTTGTAGACTTTCAAAAAGCTTTCACCAGTATCCACCGTCCTAGACCTGAAACTACTTAAAATCTATTATTTCCATTCCAAATTCATCATCATAAAATCATGGTGTATCAGACGACGTGCAGCATGCATGCCGGAACTGTCAGCCAACATTGGCACCTTATGCAGGGGAGTAGGTCACACGTTGCTCAGCCTGGATTGTTTGTATATCAGCCCGGATTGTTTGTATATCAGCCCGGATTGTTTGTATATCAGCCCGGATTGTTTGTCTATCAGCCCGGATTGTTTGTCTATCAGCCCGGATTGTTTGTCTATCAGCCCAGATTGTTGTTTGTAAATCAGCCTGGATTGTTTGTATATCAGCCTGGATTTTTGTATATCAGCCCGGATTTGTTTTTGTATATCAGCCTGGATTGTTTGTATATCACTGTATATCTCCTTGGATGATGTTCTTCATGTTTGTATATCAGCCTGGATTGTTTGTATATTGTTACCCGGTTATTGTTTGATCTAGTTCTTACTTGCCATTGTTTGTATTGTCAGCCTGATTGCCACATTTTCCGTATATACATTCACGCACATTTGTTTACACACACACACACACACACACACATGTTGTTGTTGTTCATGCATCACAAGGAATGATGACTACTCTTTCTTTTATCTGTAGTTGATTGTCTGTGAGTCCGGAGGTGACTTATAAGTCTAATACATGCCCGCAAGAATGTAGGACAATGAGGGCAGGAAACAGTGTCTGTAGGTAAAGGGTCTGTTATACGGGTCTTTCTAGTCTGTTTTTGCTATGCAGCTGCCCTTTTTCTAGACGCTTAGTAAGTTGCTGTACCTCTGTGGATAGATATTCACCATTCAATCTGGTCTTGTGCGGCAGCTTCCGTCAGGTGTGTTTTTGATGTGTCATACATGCACAGACACACAATGAAAAAAAGAAAGATTTTTTGAGAACATTATAAGAAAATGAAGAAGAAGAGGAGGAGGAGGAAGAAGAATGAAAAAGGAAGAAGAAGATGAAAGGAATAAATAAATAAGGAAAGGAAGAAGAAGATGAAGAGGGAGAAGAAAAAGAAGAGCAAGAAGAAGAAGAAAGAAAGAAAGAAAAAGGTAAGAAAGAAAGAAAGAAATAAAGAAAGAAAGAAGAAGATAACTAGAAGAAGAAAAAGAAATAAAGAAGGCATGACTGAAAAGAAGGAAGGAAAATATCGGCTGTCTATTTGTTTTAATAATTTTACGACTTTCATCTGTCTCTATATCAGAACAGGTATGCTTCGTGCAGAGTGGCATGCTTCGCTGCGGAGGACGCGGGTGAGGAGTATTGTCTGGATTTTTTCATCGGGTCAAGCCGGTGTGTTGGGAAATGAACAGGCGGACAGACTGGCTGGCTCTGCACAACTTGGTGGAATACTGATACATGATAAGGCAGACGCGGTTAGTGCCTTGTGGGAGAGCCTGTACAATTCGGAGGAGCAGATAGATCACCACAGTCTTGTAAGATTGATGCAGTTGGGGGTGACGAGAGGTTCTGGTAGATGCTCAAGGCTCAGAGGAAAGGCAAGACGGACGTTTAATCAGAATGCTACTGGCACCATTAGTATCGGAACTCTTCGCTGGCTGCTGAAGATGGGGACGGAGTGCTTATGGGAATGCCTCGAGTTCTGTGATGTCGGTTCTTGAATCAAATCAAATCACATCTGTCTCGATGAAGACTGCTTCATTTGTTTCAACATCCTTCCATGATATTCTGTGCATTCGTCTCAGAAACCACATCTCTGCCGCCAGTAAATGTTTTTCTGCTTGTCTACCTATTGTCCTTGTTTCCCATGCACATAACAACACAGGTCAATTTATACAAACAACTCCTGTTTAATATTGGTCGATGTAGTGAATGGGAACTCTTGCATGGTTGTCATGTCGCACTGCTCCGACTGACATATCTAGGCAACTTCCAAGTAGAGAAATCAGAATTTTCGTGTCTCTCATTGAGCATTATGTCCATTCTTTTCACTGGAAGTCCACTTCCTAGGGTGTCGCTGCCTCCAAGGGTACCCACTCTCTTGCTGCCTGTTAATCAGTATATCCTGTCTTTCCATCAGTTTGTTGTCACGTGTTCTCAGATTTCTCCCAACAGACATAAACAGCTTCAAATTAGGAAGAAGCATTTAATAGAAAAACTAATTAACTGAACAGATAATAGGTTACATAAGATTCAGTAGTGGTCACTTATTGTGAAAAAACAGACATATATTCAAAAAAACATTTTCCTGTCTAAATAATGAAATATACCTCATTCATAACTACGTATTAACATTTTATCCCCTAGAATATTTTGATGCATTTTGTCAGGTTCATACGGCAGAATTTACATACAACACAAAAAGGATTGATCACATGGTTGAGAAACAAAACAAAAAAAAATCTGACAATGCAAGAGCTTCAGCACGTTCACCAGCAGAGGAAGAAATAAATTACAGAAGAAATTTCTGGGGATGAAGGGGGGGGGGGGGGGGGGGGGGGGGGGGGGGGGGGTGGGAAGCTGGAAGTATTAACTCTGCCGAAATCCACGATCTTGTGAGCATGTGGGCGAAAACACAAGAAGTTGTTGAGAGGTGAGATCCTGATAGAGCTTTAGATAACAAGTGTGTTCACAAGTTCAGTGACAGCATTATTAAAGATTGTCAAAATAAAAATGTCGCTGCAGACTCAACAGAAAGCAACAAACAACAATTTTCTGTCTAAGAACAGGACACTGCAAAGGTTGCAGGTGGGGAAGAACCTATGGTTTTGTGTTTATGTTGATTCTGTATAAACCAAGTGTAATGATGTTCAGTTGTAGAATGTTTTAAAATGTTTTTATTAAAAATCTTTTTTTTTATCTCTGCAGTCACTGAGAAAGTTGAATCATCCTAACATTGTCAAACTGAAGGAAGTTATACGAGAGAACGATATGTTGTATTTTGTCTTTGAGTTCATGAAAGAAAACCTCTATCAGATGATGAAGGACAGGTCAGTCAGGCATCTTTTTACGTCATTTTATGTTAGTTTAAAAAGTAAGTATGATTCCTCATTCAGTATAATCACAGTTGTTATTGTTAACCTACTTATTTTGTTTTATTACTGACCAGTTCAGCCAAAAGGGAGTGGTCAGTCATAGTTGCTGTAGACCAGACCGCCATGGTCAGTCATAGTTACTGTAGACCAGACCACCATGGTCAGTCATAGTTGCTGTAGACCAGACCACCATGGTCAGTCATAGATGCTGTAGACCAGACCACCATGGTCAGTCATAGTTGCTGTAGACCAGACCACCAAGGTCAGTCATAGTTGCTGTAGACCAGACCACCAAGGTCAGTCATAGTTGCTGTAGACCAGACCACCAAGGTCAGTCATAGTTGCTGTAGACCAGACCACCAAGGTTAGTTATAGTTGCTGTAGACCAGACCACCATGGTTGGTCATAGTTGCTGTAGACCAGACCACCAAGGTCAGTCATAGTTGCTGTAGACCAGACCACCATGGTCAATCATAGTTGCTGTAGACCAGACCACCAAGGTCAGTCATAGTTGCTGTAGACCAGACCACCAAGGTTAGTCATAGTTGCTGTAGACCAGACCACCAAGGTCAGTCATAGTTGCTGTAGACCAGACCGCCATGGTCAGTCATAGTTGCTGTAGACCAGACCGCCATGGTCAGTCATAGTTGCTATAGACCAGACCACTATGGTCAGTCATAGTTGCTGTAGACCAGACCACCAAGGTCAGTCATAGATGCTGTAGACCAGACCGCCATGGTCAGTCATAGTTGCTGTAGACCAGACCACCATGGTCAGTCATAGTTGCTGTAGACCAGACCGCCATGGTCAGTCATAGTTGCTGTAGACCAGACCGCCATGGTCAGTCATAGTTGCTGTAGACCAGACCGCCATGGTCAGTCATAGTTGCTGTAGACCAGACCACCATGGTCAGTCATAGTTGCTGTAGACCAGACCACCAAGGTCAGTCATAGATGCTGTAGACCAGACCGCCATGGTCAGTCATAGTTGCTGTAGACCAGACCACCATGGTCAGTCATAGTTGCTGTAGACCAGACCGCCATGGTCAGTCATAGTTGCTGTAGACCAGACCGCCATGGTCAGTCATAGTTGCTGTAGACCAGACCGCCATGGTCAGTCATAGTTGCTGTAGACCAGACCACCATGGTCAGTCATAGATGCTGTAAAACAGACCGCCATGGTCAGTCATAGATGCTGTAGACCAGACCACCACTGATGATTCATGTGTTGTTTATTGTCTCAGTGTTTGTGGCCTAATCATTGACACACTACCAAGTTGTCTGTCTGTCCACCCCTTTATCACCAGCCTGATACCTGTCTGTGATGATGTGCCCTCATCTCATCCCCAACATGACACCTGCCTGTGATGATATGCCCCCATCTCATCACCAACATGATACCTGCCTGTGATGATGTGTCCTCATCTCATCCCCAACATGACACCTGTATGTGATGATGGGTACCACCATGACACCTGCCTGTGATGTGCCCCCATCTCATCACCAACATGACACCTGCCTGTGATGTGCCCCCATCTCATCACCAACATGACACCTGCCTGTGATGACGTGCCCCCTTCTCATCAACAGACACTTTTATCTATTCCCCAGAGATAAGCTGTTGCCAGAGTCTGTGGTCCGTAACATCACATACCAGGTGCTGCAGGGCTTGTCGTTCATGCACAAGTTTGGTAAGTCTGGCTGGCTCTTGTACAAAACATTGATCTGATAGTTTGTGCTGTCTCTGGCATTGTTTGTGCTGTCTCTGGCATTGTTTGTGTTGTCTCTGGCATTGTTTGTGCTGTCTCTGGCATTGTTTGTGTTGTCTCTGGCATTGTTTGTGCTGTCTCTGGCATTGTTTGTGCTGTCTCTGGCATTGTTTGTGCTGTCTCTGGCATTGTTTTTGCTGTCTCTGGCATTGTTTGTGTTGTCTCTGGCATTGTTTGTGCTGTCTCTGGCATTGTTTGTGTTGTTGTTCATGCACAAGTTTGGTAAGTCTGGCTATACACACCACATCTGATAGTTTGTGTTGTTGTTCATGTACAAGTTTGGTAAGTCTGGCTGTACACACCACATCTGATAGTTTGTGTTGTTGTTCATGCACAAGTTTGGTAAGTCTGGCTGGCTCTTGTACAAAACATTGATCCGATAGTTTGTGCTGTCTCTGGCATTGTTTGTGTTGTCTCTGGCATTGTTTGTGTTGTTAGCACTCTCTCTGTTGTTATTGGCGTAATTTATGTTGTTGTTAGCACTCTCTCTGTTGTTATTGGCATAATTTATGTTGTTGTTAGCACTCTCTCTGTTGTTATTGGCATAATTTATGTTGTTGTTAGCACTCTCTCTGTTGTTATTGGCGTAATTTATGTTGTTGTTAGCACTCTCTCTGTTGTTATTGGCATAATTTATGTTGTTGTTAGCACTCTCTCTGTTGTTACTGGCATTGTGTGTGTTGTTGTTAGCACTCTCTCTGTTGTTATTGGCATAATTTATGTTGTTGTTAGCACTCTCTCTGTTGTCATTGGCGTAATTTATGTAGTTGTTAGCACTCTCTCTGTTGTTATTGACATAATTTATGTTGTTGTTAGCACTCTCTTTGTTGTTATTGGCATTGTTTGTGTTGTTAGCACTCTCTCTGTTGTTATTGGCATAATTTAAGTTGTTTTTAGCACTCTGTCTGTTGTTATTGTCATTATTTATGTTGTTAGCACTCTCTCTTATTATTAGCATTATTTATGTTGTTGTTAGCACTCTGTTGTTATTGGCATTGTCTACGTTGTTGTTAGCACTGTCTCTGTTGTTATTGGCATTGTTTATGTTGTTGTTAGCACTCTCTCTGTTGTTATTGGCATTGTTTATGTTGTCATTAACATTAGTTATAATCTTATTAACATTATCTTTGGCAGAGAGGGTCATGGGACCCCAGTTTTTGCATATGGGACCCCAGTTTTTGCATATGGGACCCCAGTTTTTGCATATGGGACCCCAGTTTTTGCATATGGGACCCCAGTTTTTGCATATGGGACCCCAGTTTTTGCATATGGAAAAAAGATCCAGTTCTCCTCAACAAGCATGCTATAAAAGGCGACTAGTGAAGGATTTGCTTTGATTGAATATGTTAGGCTGAAAGGTGCAGCTTTCGGAGCCTAGCTGTAAACCACAACACAAAGTGCTAACAGCTCTTTTCAGGGCACATGCAGAAGGCAAAAGAACAACATTGTGTTACATTGTCTGTGTTGTTATAAGCATAGTAGAGTAAAGGACCCTTTTCCAAGGCTTTCAGATGTTTTCGGTGTATCGGGCTAGACCTGTCTTCTCATTCAGATAAGCTGATTGGGTATTTTTATATAAAGTTAAGAACATTGTCTTATCACTGGAATATACAATCATCTACTGGAACATATCACAACAGTTACATTGTCTTATCACTGGAATATACAATCATCTACTGGAACATTTCACAACAGTTACAGTGTCTTATCACTGGAATATACAATCATCTACTGGAACATATCACAACAGTTACAGTGTCTTATCACTGGAATATACAATCATCTACTGGAACATATCACAACAGTTACAGTGTCTTATCACTGGAATATACAATCATCTACTGGAACATATCACAACAGTTACAGTGTCTTATCACTGGAATATACAATCATCTACTGGAACATATCACAACAGTTACAGTGTCTTATCACTGGAATATACAATCATCTACTGGAACATATCACAACAGTTACAGTGTCTTATCACTGGAATATACAATCATCTACTGGAACATATCACAACAGTTACAGTGTCTTATCACTGGAATATACAATCATCTACTGGAACATATCACAACAGTTACAGTGTCTTATCACTGGAATATACAATCATCTACTGGAACATATCACAACAGTTACAGTGTCTTATCGCTGGAATATACAATCATCTACTGGAACATATCACAACAGATACAGTGTCTTATCACTGGAATATACAATCATCTACTGGAACATATCACAACAGTTACAGTGTCTTATCGCTGGAATATACAATCATCTACTGGAACATATCACAACAGATACAGTGTCTTATCACTGGAATATACAATCATCTACTGGAACATATCACAACAGATACATTGTCCTATCACTGGAATATACAATCATCTACTGGAACATATCACAACAGATACATTGTCTTATCACTGGAATATACAATCATCTACTGGAGCATATCACAACAGATACAGTATAGCCTGCTATGACTATTTTATTCAGGGTTTTTTCACCGAGATCTGAAGCCAGAGAATCTGCTATGTAACGGCACCGAGCAGATTAAGATTGCAGACTTTGGCCTAGCCAGGGAGATCAGATCACGGCCACCGTACACAGATTATGTGTCAACACGTTGGTACGTACAGTGTGTATAAACACTTGTTTGTTCCCCTCTTTCTTCAACCATTTATTTCCCACTGAAGCATATGCTCTTAACTCTTTCGCAATGCCAGTGTCCCATATTTTAGGAATACCCGTAGAGAAATAACTGGATTACACCTGAACAAAAAATTGGGTGACTCATTCTTGATCTGTTGGTTGCCTGGTTACCACAGTGTTGAATAAAAAAACTGTGACCTCATAACTTATGTTAAAAGCCATTTTTTCCTCTAGAAAACTCCACTTATATGCTTTAAAAAAAAATACATCAAATATTATAATTTCTGGTGCTCCTAAATATTTGCACAGGTGCAGACGATACTGACACTGTAAGCTTGGCTTTTCATGAACAAGCCACTAAAGCAGTGTCGGTAAAAATGACTTTTATGGCGACATGACACAGACTGGATGTGTCAGTTTTGTGGCTACTCAGGGAGAAAGAAGTGATTTTTATGTCGGCATGGCACAAACTGGATGTGGCTACTTAGGGAGAAAGGGTTAACTAACTTTCTCCAAGAAGTCGTATCCTTTGTCATCTTCTGCAGCTCCTTCCATGTCCTCTTAATAACTTTCATCTCTCTCTAATCTTCTTTTAAGAATAGCTAGTGATGAAGTTTTAAGTGTCTCTTGATTTAAGACTGCCAATTATACATCTGTATGAATGAGGCAAACCTCATCAAACAGTGGACCAAAGCCCATAGCTGAGATCTCGGCAGTAAACCTGTAATTATACCGTCTCAAGGTCATGATGTGTGAGACCAGATTGGATACGTAGAGACTTGACAGATTGAACCTGTTGATTAGGAAGTAAGAGTCACAGGTTTGCTAGGGTAACAGTCACAGGTATGTTAGGGTAACAGTCACAGGTATGTTAGGTAACATCACAGGTATGCTAGGGTAACAGTCACAGGTATGTTAGGGTAACAGTCACAGGTATGTTAGGGTAACAGTCACAGGTATGTTAGGGTAACAGTCACAGGTATGTTAGGGTAACAGTCACAGGTGTGTTAGGGTAACAGTCACAGGTATGTTAGGGCAACGGTCACAGGTATGTTAGGGTAACAGTCACAGGTATGTTAGGGCAACAGTCACAGGTATGTTAGGGTAACAGTCACATGTATGTTAGGGCAACAGTCACAGGTATGTTAGGGTAACAGTCACAGGTATGTTAGGGTAACAGTCACAGGTATGTTAGGTAACATCACAGGTATGTTAGGGTAACAGACAGATTTTGTTAGCCTGCATTAATCAGCAGGGGAAAAACAGTTGTGAAATAATTGTGTGAAATATATTTCAAACTAGCAAGCATAAATATGATCCCTGGATGTAGGGTCAGTGAAGGGAAAGACCCTATTGCCCACTACGAGATACATGGCTCAATATTTGTCTAGATCAGTTGGCACACTGCGGCTGATGTGGTCAGTTCCTGCAAGCCACCTTTATTTCCTACAATGTTTTCTGATACCTGTTCTAGGCTGAGTTGTCCTGAAGGCTCAGATCAGTTTTTACAAAATGCTGCCTTGGTAGGATTCAAACTCCTGACCATTAGACTGACAGGCTAGCATGCCAGCCACTGTGACAAGGTGTAGGATAAAAAGAGATACATAGTCCTGGTTAAAGCTGTTGCTGTTGATAAATGACAGGTACCGAGCACCAGAAGTGTTGCTGAGATCCACCAACTATAGCTCTCCCATTGACATCTGGGCTGTCGGATGTATCATGGCCGAGTTGTACACTCTCCGTCCCTTGTTTCCTGGCAGCTCCGAGATCGACGAGATTTTCAAAATCTGTTCCGTTCTGGGAACTCCCAAAAAGGTTTGTTGGCATCTATGTTTGTGTGAGTCGACTGTTTGTTACTACATTGTTTCTCTCTTGGCACATACGTGTGTGTGTGTGTGTGTGTTGTTTTTTTCATTGCATTCTTGTTATTGTCCTTGAAGAAATGTGATTATACTATTTTAAGTGATTGTGTCTTAAAGATATTTATTTAGTTTAAAAAAAAAAAAACATTTGTTGATGTCAGTGCCCTAAGATTTTAGAGAAATGTTTGTTTTCAAATTTATTTTAATATGGCTTCTCTAGAGAAATGTTTGTTTTAAAATTTATTTTAATACGGCTTCTCTAGAGAAATGTTTGTTTTAAAATTTATTTTAATACGGCTTCTCTAGAGAAATGTTATTTTATTATATCAGAATTGTATTTTATGTGAAGTTTGTTATCTGTTTGTTATTTCCCATGTTTTGTTTTCCGATACAGATGTATTTGTTTCATGACTTCCATATTTTCACCTGTAAAGATATTTGCTTGTTTACTTCTACATATTTATCTTGTGAGTGCTGTCATTTGATGATGTTTTTATGCTTTCTGTGCTAACCTCTGCCATTCTTGTTCAGTATTTCCTACATAAAGGTAAGTTTATTTTCCACCTCTTCTGCTGATATACCATATATATAAATGTTTGTTCCTGACCGTTTGAAGAGTGTGGGATTTGAACAGGGTGACCATTCAACAGCAGGCTGGCAGTGAGACCTATACTTTAACAGAAAAAGCTGGATGTAAATTCACACCATATCCCATAGTTGTTGGCTCGGTTGGATGCTCTCATGGCGCCTGTCTTATCAATGTCCAGTTAGTCGTTTGATCCTTAAGTGAGATACCTTTTGGTGGCACCTGTTTTATGAATGTCTAGTTAGTCGTGCGATCCTTAACTGAGAAACTATCTGGTGGCACCTTGTTTTATCAATGTCCAGTTAGTCGTGTGATCCTTCAGTGAGGTACTTTCTGGTGGGACCTTGTTTTATCAATGTCCAGTTAGTCGTGTGATCCATATGTGACATACTTTCTGATGGTACCTGTCTTATCAATGTCCAGTTAGTTGTGCGATCCTTAACTGAGAAACTTTCTGGTGGCACCTGTTTTATCAGTGTCCAGTTAGTTGTGGGATCCTTCAGTATGAAACTTTCTGGTGGCACCTGTCTTATCAGTGTCCAGTTAATTGTGCGATACTTAACTGAGAAACTTTCTGGTGGCACCTGTCTTATCAGTGTCCAGCTAGTCGTGTGATCCTTAACTGAGAAACTTTCTGGGGGCACCTTGTTTTATCAATGTCCAGTTAGTTGTGCGATCCTTAACTGAGAAACTTTCTGGTGGCACCTTGTTTTACCTGTCTTAATGTCCAGTTAATTGTGCGATACTTAACTGAGAAACTTTCTGGTGGCACCTTGTTTTATCAATGTCCAGTTAGTTGTGCGATCCTTAACTGAGAAACTTTCTGGTGGCACCTTGTTTTATCAATGTCCAGTTAGTTGTGCGATCCTTAACTGAGAAACTTTCTGGTGGTACCTTGTTTTATCAATGTCCAGTTAGTTGTGTGATCCTTAACTGAGAAACTTTCTGGTGGTACCTTGTTTTATCAATGTCCAGTTAGTTGTGCGATCCTTAACTGAGAAACTTTCTGGTGGTACCTGTCTTATCAGTGTTCAGCTAGTCGTTTGATTCTTAAGTGAGATAATTTCTGGTGGCACCTTGTTTTATCAGTGTCCAGTATTTGTGCGATCCTTAAGCGAGAGACTTTCATCATTCACAGGTCCTAGATTCCAATTATAGTGTTCCCATAGCCTTTTAGTTTTCCTGGTTTATTCTGAAATCTCTGCTACTGCTTTGCTTTGCCTCTGTTCTGTTGTCTGGTTTATCCTGAAATCTCTGCTACTGCTTCTCTTTGCCTCTGTTCTGTTGTCTGGTTTAGGCTGAAATCTCTGCTACTGCTTTCTCTTTGCCTCTGTTCTGTGAGTGCCAGCCTAAACTTCTGAATTTTTGTCTCATAAAATTGGTGCCAGATAATTTTGGAACATTTGCTTGAATTTGTCAGAATGAAAATTAGTGAAAAGCGGGAATCAGTCACCCCAGTCACATGATGATGATCTAGTCTTTATGAAGTATGAACTTTCTCAATCTTTTAGCAGTTACTGACATGTGACGAACCTTACTGAAATAGATTTGTCTACATTCCAGGATGATTGGGGTGAAGGTTACCAGCTTGCTGCGGCCATGAACTTCCGCTTCCCTCAGTGTGTATCCACGCCCCTCAAACAGATTATTCCCAACGCCAGCAGTGATGGCCTGCAAGTTATCCGAGACATGCTGTTGTGGAATCCACAGAAGCGGCCATCTGCTGCCCAGGTATTTCTCTTATGTATTTTCTGAGTTTGGTCATATCTTTTTTTTCCTGGGTTTTTAAGCATTGCAGCACCTTTCAGACCCTCCAAGGAAGCCTGTGAGGCCCTTCTGGGAAACACAAATAGCAACACTTAAACCTTGAATTTAAACAAATATTTGAGAGAAAAAATTGCTCGCCGTGCAATTTGAGGCAGCCCAACATTGGTCATGTGCAGTTTGAGACAGCCTAACATTGGTAATGCCCAAGTTGAGACAGCCTAACATTGGTCATGCCCAAGTTGAGACAGCCTAACATTGGTAATGCCCAAGTTGAGACAGCCTAACATTGGTCATGCCTAAGTTGAGACAGCCTAACATTGGTCATGCCCAAGTTGAGACAGCCTAACATTGGTCACGCCCAAGTTGAGACAGCCTAACATTGGTCACACCCAAGTTGAGACAGCCTAACATTGGTAATGCCCAAGTTGAGACAGCCCAACATTGGTCATGCCTAAGTTGAGACAGCCTAACATTGGTAATGCCCAAGTTGAGACAGCCTAACATTGGTCATGCCCAAGTTGAGACAGCCTAACATTGGTCATGCCCAAGTTAAGACAGCCTAACATTGGTAATGCCCAAGTTGAGACAGCCTAACATTGGTAATGCCCAAATTGAGACAGCCTAACATTGGTCATGCCTAAGTTGAGACAGCCTAACATTGGTAATGCCTAAGTTGAGACAGTCCAACATTGGTCATGCCTAAGTTGAGACAGCCTAACATTGGTAATGCCCAAGTTGAGACAGCCTAACATTGGTAATGCCCAAGTTGAGACAGCCTAACATTGGTCATGCTTAAGTTAAGACAGCCTAACATTGGTAATGCCCAAGTTGAGACAGCCTAACATTGGTAATGCCCAAATTGAGACAGCCTAACATTGGTCACGCCCAAGTTGAGACAGCCTAACATTGGTCACGCCCAAGTTGAGACAGCCTTACATTGGTCACGCCCAAGTTAAGACAGCCTAACATTGGTCATGCCCAAGTTGAGACAGCCTAACATTGGTCACGCCCAAGTTGAGACAGCCTTACATTGGTCACGCCCAAGTTGAGACAGCCTAACATTGGTCATGCCCAAGTTGAGACAGCCTAACATTGGTCATGCCCAAGTTGAGACAGCCTAACATTGGTCACGCCCAAGTTGAGACAGCCTAACATTGGTCATGCCCAAGTTGAGACAGCCTAACAGTGGTCATGCCCAAGTTAAGACAGCCTAACATTGGTCATGCCCAAGTTGAGACAGCCTAACATTGGTCACGCCCAAGTTGAGACAGCCTTACATTGGTCACACCCAAGTTGAGACAGCCTAACATTGGTCATGCCCAAGTTGAGACAGCCTAACAGTGGTCATGCCCAAGTTGAGACAGCCCAACATTGGTCATGCCTAAGTTGAGACAGCCTAACATTGGTCACGCCCAAGTTGAGACAGCCTAACATTGGTCATGCCTAAGTTGAGACAGCCTAACATTGGTCATGCCTAAGTTGAGACAGCCTAACATTGGTCACGACCAAGTTGAGACAGCCTAACATTGGTCACGACCAAGTTGAGACAGCCTAACATTGGTCACACCCAAGTTGAGACAGCCTAACATTGGTAATGCCCAAGTTGAGACAGCCTAACATTGGTCACGCCCAAGTTGAGACAGCCTAACATTGGTCATGCCTAAGTTGAGACAGCTTAACATTGGTCATGCCTAAGTTGAGACAGCCTAACATTGGTCACGCCCAAGTTGAGACAGCTTAACATTGGTAATGCCCAAGTTGAGACAGCTTAACATTGGTCATGCCTAAGTTGAGACAGCTTAACATTGGTAATGCCCAAGTTGAGACAGCTTAACATTGGTAATGCCCAAGTTGAGACAGCTTAACATTGGTAATGCCCAAGTTGAGACAGCTTAACATTGGTAATGCCCAAGTTGAGACAGCTTAACATTGGTAATGCCCAAGTTGAGACAGCTTAACATTGGTCATGCCTAAGTTGAGACAGCCTAACATTGGTCACGCCCAAGTTGAGACAGCTTAACATTATTCACGTGCAGGTTACATATCAAACTTAAAACTGGCCTGGCTGCTGTTTCTGCTACCTACTATCTACCTGCTAAATTGCCTCCTAATTAATCTGCTATGGGATCTCTATGGGAAAAGAAAATGTCTCCTTAATAACCGACCCGGATTGGTAGCCCTGCCCCAGCGGATTTAACCGATTGTGATTAGCATACCAAAGTCTTTTCTCAGAGAAAGGCAAGACTGACTGACTGCTTCTCTGAAGAGGAAAAATCTGAGCAAAGAAAAGACGGTATGGGGAAAAGGTCAGTGTTTCCTGATACTTGTCTGAGTGCATCTGCTCCATGAAACTATCTGGCCAGCTTTGCATAGGAGACAATGTCAGCACTTGTTACGACAGTGTACAGACCCTACAGTCTCAACCCTAGACTGGATCTTATGGGTTTCATCTAAAGATGAAGTAAAGGATGAGTTCTTCCTACTTGTGGCTGCAACGGCATAGACTGAGGTTTCTGGCCTGGTTGCAGAGGGTAAGGCAAAAGCCTTACCTGGTTTAGGTTTGGGATCATTAATGTTCCCAACTAAACTGGCAAAGGACCTGAGCTTAATGAGATTCTGACTCTTTAAGTGCTTCTCAATAGACCTAGTTAGCTTTTTAGCAGTCTGCCTGGCTATTGGTCTAGTCTTGGTGGAGCACACATCTCTTTTCAGAAGAGGTGTCCACACACTCTTTGGTTGGCTCCTCTTGGGTTGAACCAAGATGCGAGACCCCTGGTCTCTCATAACCTGCTTGTTCGCAGTCGCCGGGTAGTCAAAGTTGTGCTGGCCCTTGATTCTGAGGGGACACAACAACATACCCAGATCTCAATGACTAGTCAGAAGCCTGAGACTCATTTCCCCCAGCCTGTGAGCAGGACAGAGATGCAGTTTTGCTTCTCTCAGTAAACTGTAGGATATCACTCAACTTCCAGGACAAGTCAACGTCTTTTCTTAGCACATGATTTCCTACAGACTGCAGATGAGAGTAAGTAGTGGGAGCATGGACATCAACAGGCTCTGCTGAACAGAATAATGTCTGCAGTGTGGAGCCAAAGTCTTCCGTCTCTCCACCTACCTTTCTACAAGTTTCCTTGCTATGCAAGCTTCTAGATAAATTCAGATTATCTAGAATGGAGTTTTTGAGAATAACACTGTTTTTTTCTGCCAAGGAATGACCATCTTGACAGAAATCACCACCTTCATTTACATCAAGTTTTGTGGTCACTGCAAAGACGTGTTTGTTGCCGAGATGTTGCTCCAGCCAGTGGTCGTGATCTGTTCCAGGCACTCCAGGAAGACGGGGCAGCCATCCCACAGATCCACATTTGACATGTGATCGCATCCATGCCCAGAAGATGGCAAGTCACTGATCCAAGCAAGAGGATAAGCCTAAAATTATTGTGACCCAGATGCACAACAAAAGTGTCAATTGATTGGTGGAACCCTAATGCATTTTTGTATGAAATTTGAATATTTCCACTTATTGCATTACAAAGATGCAGAACCTCACAATTGTGATAATGTATGTTCCTTTCAATAGCAATGCATTTCCTTTTTTGAACAGTATGTTTATATATATATATATAGAATGTGTAAATTGTGTATGATATATAGAATCTGATATTGTTGTGTGTGCGAATGTGTGTGTGTGTGTGTGTATGTGTATGTGTGTGTGTATGTGTGTGTGTGTGTGTGGGGGGGGGCACACACAATTTGATAATGATGTGTTTATGATGTACTACTTTCAGTGTTTACGTTATGGATTCTTTCAAGTTGGAAACGATCTACCTCGACCACCTCCTGTGTCCAAAACTCCAGTCAACCTACCATCTCAACCCTCCCCATCACAGCGAACAATAGCCAAACCTCCGTCAACCGTTCCCAAGGCATACCCTGAACCCAAAGCCAGCGAGTTCAACCACCAGCCACTCTCTCAGAGAGCAGCGAAAGGAGATGAGAAACCTGATGTTCTGCCTGCGATACCAGTACAGATGGGGAAACAGAATGAGTCTGTAAGTGATATATTCTACCTGATGTGGCTTGAAGTTTACACTAACTGTCCAGCATGAATACTTACATGCACACACCCACAGAGATATAGCTTGTACCTTCCAGTATCATTCACACATAGATATATAGCTTGTCCATTCCAGTATCATACACCTACATAGATATAGATTGTACTTTCCAGTATCACACACCCACAGAGATATAGCTTGTACCTTTCAGTAACATACACCCACAGAGATATAGCTTGTACCTTCCAGTAACATACACCCACAGAGATATAGCTTGTACCTTCCAGTAACATACACCCACAGAGATATAGCTTGTACCTTCCAGTAACATACACCCACCTGCTCAGATATAATAGATATCTTTCATTGATATACGTTAACAGGATCAGATATCTCCTAGTTACATACATTTACACTTTCTAACCAATTTTGTGTGTGTTTGGTGGATAATATTTTTAAATATAAACAGACACACCATTGGGGTATTCCATAGGACAATCAGTGTCTGGGTAGTGACATAATGATAGTGATGGAGAGCTATTTAACTACCAGTTCCTAACGAATACCCCCCTGTCCATGTTTCACCACTTACTTGTGGGACATGTCACTTCATTACATACATCCCCTGTCCATGTTTCACCACTTACTTGTGGAAGATGTCACTTCATTACATACATCCCCTGTCCATGTTTCACCACTTACTTGTGGGACATGTCACTTCATTACATACATCCCCTGTCCATGTTTCACTACTTACTTGTGGAAAATGTCACTTCATTACATACATCCCCTGTCCATGTTTCACCACTTACTTGTGGAAGAAATGAGTCTGTAATTACTTACACCAACTCCTCCATGCTTCACCACTGGCAGAAAATATAAGTCTGTCAACACAGACCCCCCACTTCCATGTTTCACCACTCACAGAAAATATAAGTCTGTCAACACAGACCCCCCACTTCCATGTTTCACCACTCGCAGAAAATATGTCTGTCAACACAGACCCCCCCTCTTCCATGTTTCACCACTCGCAGAAAATATAAGTCTGTCAACACAGACCCCCCACTTCCATGTTTCACCAGTCACAGAAAATATAAGTCTGTCAACACAGACCCCCCCACTTCCATGTTTCACCACTGGCAGAAAATATAAGTCTGTCAACACAGACCCCCCACTTCCATGTTTCACCACTGGCAGAAAATATAAGTCTGTCAACACAGACCCCCCTCTTCCATGTTTTACCACTCGCAGAAAATATAAGTCTGTCAACACAGACCCCCCTCTTCCATGTTTCACCACTCGCAGAAAATATAAGTCTATCAACACAGACCCCCCTCTTCCATGTTTCACCACTCACAGAAAATATGTCTGTCAACACAGACCCCCCTCTTCCATGTTTCACCACTCGCAGAAAATATAAGTCTGTCAACACAGACCCCCCTCTTCCATGTTTCACCACTGGCAGAAAATATAAGTCTGTCAACACAGACCCCCCTCTTCCATGTTTCACCACTCGCAGAAAATATAAGTCTGTCAACACAGACCCCCCTCTTCCTTGTTTCACCACTGGCAGAAAATATAAGTCTGTCAACACAGACCCCTCTCTTCCATGTTTCACCACTCATTTTGGAAAATATAAATCTCAGCCCAGTGTACCTCTATTGACTGTTCCCATGAGATGTTTTTTGTCTCCTGTCTTGACCTTAAAGTCACCACTGATATGCTTCAGCACTCCTTTCCCAGGTCATGTAATCAGGTTAGCATCAGAGATTTCATCACTATCTGCCAGCCTAGTCCATATAGCATTGGTAATGTCAGCTGTGTCACTGCATCTTCTCACGGGGCAGTGCCAGTGCTGTAATATGTGCCAGTTTGTCCACTTGTTACTCGTTAGGCCGCCATGTCCAGGTGAAGGAGGTTCGGTGTGACCTCAGTGATTTTCATAAATAGTGATCTGCCCGATTGAACCTAAATCAGGTACCAGGAAATGTGAAGGAAAGCAAAGGCAGACTATTATGATATCATTGACATCACCCTTTAAGTGCCAATTGATCTTTACAGAAATGGGACTAGCAGCAAGTGTCCAGTGGCCTCTAGCAGGGGGGTGGAAGGGGTCTTTTACTTGTCATTAACATATAGTCACATAATAGTCAACAAACGACTGTCATTGCCTGTTTGTGTGTCAGATGCAGTCATTACGTAAGAGTCAGCAACATTGTGAGCTGTGGAATGTTTTCTGACAGTACCCAGGGAGGTTTCTGTTGTGTACTGCAGATTGTGGCAGATGGCCTTCCACAGAACTGGTGCTGCCTTATGCAGTATTGTCTGTGCCACTGATGATTTGTTGTAACTGTTGCTTCCATCCACATTCAACTGCAGTTCTGGTGGCAGACTGTTTGTATTGGCACCTTTGATGGCTACCTTATGCATTGATCATTGAATGCATGTGTATGCTCTAGACTTTGCTGATAGTTGAGAACATATGGGTGCCTAAACATTATTGATATTCTTCTTCTTTTATTTTTACATTGCGTTCCCCAGCCTTAAACTCCTGTGGAAAGTTTTGGTTGTTCATCTACTTTTGGACTGCAGTCCTGTTCCAGAACCTGAGTGTTGTGCGTGCATCCGTTTGACAGATCTGACACATTTGTGTGCAGACTGTTGGTTCTTTCCTCTCAGGCAGATGCACTCCGACTTCTTGTTTTCCCTATAATAGGGCTCCGAAACCCACACAGGATGATAATTGATATTCATCTGTAGTTGACAGCTGTGTTTGCAATTTAGAAAAATGCATTATTCTGGTAGTTACATTTAGTTGTTGCTGGTCTCGTTGATGTCACAGCTGTTGGAGTGATTTGTTATTATTTCTGTACACATATACTGTTATCCCTATGGTTACCTGCTGGTAATCGTGTCAGTTAAGTTAGTTGTGCATCCTTAACAGGAGGTTGGAGAACAAACTGCAGGATTTTTTTGGCTGTTATGGTTTCTATTGGCAAATTTTACATTCAGTAGTTTGCCATTGCTTTTTGACAGCTAGGTCTCTGTACCAGTGTCTAAACTAACGCAAGACAAATTGTCTACAGCTGGGATTGAACCCAGCATTTCAGTATTATGAAGTGCATTGAGAGCGTCTTAGCCACAGAAACCGACTTGTAACCACTTGGTTAATTTAATTTATTTCAGCACAGCTGCTTTAGTGTGTACGTGAGCTAACCTCAACCACTGAGTTTGACTTGTCACATCTTATGTGTTCTTTGTCTGGTGACTTATTCTTGAAGGGAAGCAGTTGTCTCTTCTGTGATCCCCTGATGGCTGCCAGGATATGCTGATATCCATGTTGTTCATCTCTTTCCTAGCCCACTGCACAGGAAACCAGCAGGGAACAAGCCAGCTCTAGACTCTGGCAAGTCTTCCGTTTCCTCAGCCAAACAGCATTACCTGAGTAAAGCCAGATATCTGCCAGGTAAGACTCTCACCCACCTGTCTCTCAGATCAAGGTGTGCAGATGAACTTTTATACTGTCAGTGTTTTCCCCCAGTGATCTCCCCAGTGATCTCCCCAGTGATCTCCCCTCCCCAGTGATCTCCCCAGTGATCTCCCCAGTGATCCAGTGATCTGCTTTATTCAAAGATTTTGTTTATTTCTTTTTTTAACAACAGGTTCAGAAGCTCCGTTAAACAAATCTGATAGTCAGATAGTCTGTAACTGAGATCTCAGGGTTGGATGTTATGTGTGTACAGATGCCTTTTGACCACATCTGTATGTTGGATGCTATGTGTGTACAGATGCCTATTGTCCATATCTGAATGTTGGATGTTATGTATGTACAGAAGCCTTTTGTCCACATCTGTAAGTTGGATGTTATGTGTGTACAGATGCCTTTTGTCCACATCTGTATGTTGGATGTTATGTGTGTACAGATGCCTATTGTCCACATCTGTAAGTTGGATGTTATGTGTGTACAAATGCCTTTTGTCCACATCTGTATGTTGAGTGTTATGTATGTACAGATGCCTATTGTCCACATCTGTATGTTGAGTGTTATGTGTGTACAGATGCCTATTGTCCACATCTGTATGTTGGATGTTTTGTGTGTACAGATGCCTTTTGTCCACATCTGTATGTTGGATGTTATGTGTGTACAGATGCCTATTGTACACATCTGTATGTTGGATGTTATGTATGTACAAATGCCTGTTGTCCACATCTGTATGTTGGATGTTATGTGTGTACAGATGCCTTTTGTCCACATCTGTATGTTGGATGTTATGTGTGTACAGATGCCTATTGTCCATATCTGTATGTTGAATGTTATGTGTATACAGATGCCTATTGTACACATCTGTATGTTTGATGTCATGTATGTACAGATGCCTTTTGTCCACATCTGTATGTTGAGTGTTATGTGTGTACAGATGCTTGTTGTCCATATCTGTATGTTGAATGTTATGTGTGTACAGATGCTTGTTGTCCACATCTGTATGTTGAATGTTATGTGTGTACAGATGCTTGTTGTCCATATCTGTATGTTGAATGTTATTTGTGTGTACAGATGCTTGTTGTCCACATCTGTATGTTGAATGTTATGTGTGTACAGATGCTTTTTGTCCACATCTGTATGTTGGATGTTATGTGTGTACAGATGCATTTTGTCCATATCTGTATGTTGGATGTTATGTGTGGACAGATGCCTGTTGTCCACATCTGTATGTTGAATATTACATGTGGACAGATGCCTGTTGTCCATATCTGTATGTTGAATATTACATGTGGACAGATGCCTGTTGTCCATATCTGTATGTTGGATGTTATGTGTGGACAGATGCCTGTTGTCCATATCTGTATGTTGAATGTTATGTGTGGACAGATGCCTGTTGTCCATATCTGTATGTTGGATGTTATGTGTGGACAGATGCCTGTTGTCCATATCTGTATGTTGGATGTTATGTGTGGACAGATGCCTGTTGTCCATATCTGTATGTTGGATGTTATGTGTGGACAGATGCCTGTTGTCCATATCTGTATGTTGGATGTTATGTGTGGACAGATGCCTGTTGTCCATATCTGTATGTTGGATGTTATGTGTGGACAGATGCCTGTTGTCCATATCTGTATGTTGGATGTTATGTGTGGACAGATGCCTGTTGTCCATATCTGTATGTTGGATGTTATGTGTGGACAGATGCCTGTTGTCCCCTTCTGATGATGATGTTGTTGTGGCTGTCAGTTTAATACTGTTGATGATGTTGTGGCCTGTCAGTTTAATACTGTTGATGTTGTTGTGGCCTGTCAGTTTAATACTGTTGATGATGTTGTGGCCTGTCAGTTTAACACTGTTGATGATTTTGTTGTTGTCAGTTTAACACTGTTGATGATGTTGTGGCCTGTCAGTTTAATACTGTTGATGATGTTGTAGCTTGTCAGTTTAATACTGTTGATGATGTTGTTGCCTGTCAGTTTGATACTGTTGATGATGTTGTGGCCTGTCAGTTTGATACTGTTGATGATGTTGTGGCCTGTCAGTTTGATACTGTTGATGATGTTGTGGCCTGTCAGTTTAATACTGTTGATGATGTTGTAACCTGTCAGTTTGATACTGTTGATGATGTTTTGGCCTGTCAGTTTAATACTGTTGATGATGTTGCGGCCTGTCAGTTTGATACTGTTGATGTTGTTGTTGTTGTTGTCAGTTTGATACTGTTGATGATGTTGCGGCCTGTCAGTTTGATACTGTTGATGTTGTTGTTGTTGTTGTCAGTTTGATACTGTTGATGTTGTTGTTGTTGTTGTCAGTTTGATATTGTTGATGATGTTGTGGCCTGTCAGTTTGATACTGTTGAGGTTGTTGTTGTTGTTGTCAGTTTGATACTGTTGATGTTGTTGTTGTTGTTGTCAGTTTGATACTGTTGATGTTGTGGCCTGTCAGTTTGATACTGTTGATGATGTTGTGGCCTGTCAGTTTGATACTTTTGATGATGTTGTTGTCAGTTTCAAGGTATTTACAGTTTTGAGACATTTACATTGTTCTCATTGTAAATTGCAACTTATGGTTGAGATGGAGCTCTGTCTGTGGACTTAATTACCCTATGCACTGAACATATTAATAGTGTGGTCATGATTGCAGGCATCAACCCAAAGGTGAGCGCCCGCAGGGACAGTGTGCGCAGGGACAGTGTGCACAGGGACAGTCTGGGTGTAGCTGCAGACTGGTCACCCTTAGGGAGAAACTTTGCTTTGGGAGAAATTAATTCCAATAGCCGTGAGTAGTTTGTTTTTGTTCGTTTCAGTTTGTGCCTGGTAGAGGCAACAAACAAGGGTCATCTTGGTCATCTCAGTTTCTGCTTCACAGCAAGCGGGTCATCCTGTCCATAGCTGCTCCGCTGCTGTGCCAACAAGTCATCCCGTCCATAGCTGTTCCGCTGCTGTGCCGACAGGTCATCCCATCCATAGCTGTTCCGCTCCTGTGCCAACAGGTCATCCCATCCATAGCTGTTCGGCTCCTGTGCCAACAGGTCATCCCATCCATAGCTGTTCCGCTCCTGTGCCAACAGGTCATCCCATCCATAGCTGTTCCGCTCCTGTGCCAACAGGTCATCCCATCCATAGCTGTTCCGCTCCTGTGCCAACAGGTCATCCCATCCATAGCTGTTCCGCTCCTGTGCCGACAGGTCATCCCATCCATAGCTGTTCGGCTCCTGTGCCAACAGGTCATCCCATCCATAGCTGTTCCGCCCCTGTGCCAACAGGTCATCCTGTCTATTGCTGTTCGGGGCCTGTGCCAACAAGTCATCCTGTCTATTGCTGTTCGGGGCCTGTGACAACAGGTCATCCTGTCTATTGCTGTTCGGGGCCTGTGACAACAGGTCATCCTGTCTATTGCTGTTCGGGGCCTGTGACAACAGGTCATCCCACCCATAGCTTCCCCCCCTTGCTAACAGGTTTCTATAGTTGTTCCGTCTATAGCTGTTACCCCCCCCCCCCGACAGTGCAATAGGTCATCCCGTCTATAGCTGTTCCCCCCCCCCCCCCCCCCCCCCCCCCCCCGTGCCAACAGGTCATCCCGTCTATAGCTGTTCCCCCCCGTGCCAACAGGTCACCCCGTCCATAGCTGTTCCGCCCCCCCCCCCAGGTCATCCTGTCTATTGCTGTTCGGGGCCTGTGACAACAGGTCATCCCACCCATAGCTTCCCCCCGTGCTAACAGGTCTATAGCTGTTCCCCCCCCCCCCCCCCCCCGTGCCAACAGGTCATCCCGTCTATAGCTGTTCCCCCCCCCCCCCCCCCCCCCCACGGCGTGCCAACAGGTTCATCCCGTCTATAGCTGTTCCGCCCCTGTGCCGACAGAAAACACACAGAATGTCCATCACCATCCCTTGATGTCAGTCTGCACTCAGCATTTTCACTAGCATACCCACACATTAAAAGGATATGACAGCTATTGGAAGTGCTAACACAAACAGTCCGACATTAGAAATTCAGTTCATCTTCGACACAAGGATAGGATGAGAAAGAATGGTGTTCTCAAGTTTTCTCTTATGAAAGTTGTCATTGTAAGATGAGAAAGATTGGTGTCCTCAAGTTTTTTCCAATGAAAGTTACCATTGTAGGATAAGAAAGATTGGTGTTGTCAAGTTGTTCAGTAAGATAGAGAAGGGCTGGGTCCGAAGGCAGTGGTTGGCGGCTCTACAGAATTCACGGCTGACAAGGATTAGTTTCATTTTCGTGACAGGATATGTCGGGATACAAGGAAATAAGCAAGCTGATAGACTTGCAGGTAAGGCTACTATGAAAGCCGGACAAGCCATGGACCAGGCTGATATACTGAATGCTCTAAGAGAGTCAAGACGTTTGCGTGAACCAACTGAGAACTGTGAATCTGACACCATGGTCAGACTGCAAGAACAACATGTTAAACGGGGCATCACCAAACAAGAACACTACTCGGGTAGCCAAAGAAGAAGAATAAACCAACACAGAACTGGTATTAGCCGCTACACACAGCGGGATTTACTGAGGAGGGGATCCAGGTACTTATAGACTGAGATGTTCAACGTGCAGTGAGGATTGTCTGTCAACTAACTAAGTAGTTTACCTTGAAAGTTATCATTGTAAGATGAGAAAGATCGGTGTTCACAAGTTGTCTGTTTCTGTCTCCTCACAGGCAGGCCAAGGATCAACAACTTTGATGGTGATTATCTCCCTTCATTTATGGCAGCAAAAGGTAGGCTCACTTAATATCACATTCATCATTGTTGTGTGCTCGTGTGTGTGTTCGTATGTCTGTGTGTGTTCGTGTGTCTGTGTGTGTTCGTATGTCTGTGTATGTTCGTATGTCTGTGTGTGTTCGTATGTCTGTGTGTGTTTCGTGTGTCTGTGTGTGTTCATGTCTGTGTGTGTTCGTATGTCTGTGTGTCTCTCAAGGCAAAGTTGTTGGTGATTATTCTTCCCCAACAGATCTCATGGTTTCTGTGTCAGTTTTGAATGAGTTAGTGATGTCTGCTAGTGTGATAAACTTTAAAAATTTGTTTACTTTTATGTATCCAGAAACCATGAGTTGTAAACCTTTTGGCTCTGTACTATGGATATTGCAGCCCTTAGGCCTTGATTCCATGATAGATACCGTAAATCTGGGAAATATGTGGTTTTTCTGCCACCCCCGAGCACGAACTTGGACCACAAGGAGTTAGTCACCCGGTCGCCCCGCAAGCTTAATTAACCAACTAAGCTAGCGCACCGGGATGTGATACAGTTAACCATCTTTGCTGATGTTTTATCAAGGACAGTATTGACAGTGCAGTCGTGCATACTGGGGCAGGCCAGGGCAGATCTGTAGCAGAAACATCTGTAGAGGTGTGCTATGTTCAGTTCACCTGACCCTGACAATGCCTCCCGTTCTCCTTGAAACAGTTTTGAATATAATTCCTCAAGACAAAACTGTTGGTGACAAAACCTCCTGACCAATTAACTGTCCCCGACAAAGCCTCCTGTTCTCATTATTAACTGTTCTGGCCCTGACAAAACCTCCTGTTCTCATTATTAACTGTTCTGACCCTGACCCTGACAAAACCTCATGTTCTCATTATTAACTGTTCTGGCCCTGACAATGCCTCCTGTTCTCATTATTAACTGTTCTGGCCCTGACAATGCCTCCCGTTCTCATTATTAACTGTTCTGGCCCTGACAATGCCTCCTGTTCTCATTATTAACTGTTCTGGCCCTGACAAAACCTCCTGTTCACATTATTAACTGTTCTGGCCCTGACAATGCCTCCCGTTCTCATTATTAACTGTCCTGCAGCTGCTGGGCAGCAGGAAGAGATCACATGAAACGTGAAGAAATTAGAACAGGACTAGGCCTGAAACCGGTCGTACGGTTTATCACAGACCAACAGATGAAATGGTTTGACTATCTGACAAGAATGCTCTAGTACTAGCTACCACAGCTATGGTGAAGAAATGTAATCAACACAGGGCAGGTGGCAGAACACGCTAAGTATAGAATGACAACATCAAGAACAGTTTTAAACTTTTTTGCTCCTCAGAATGGAGGATAAGCACATTCACAGGTTTTAGTCTTGGCAATATTTTGCTTCTGGCTGTTGCATTTTCTTCCATTTTTAGATTGAAAAAATGTAGTTTTATTGTCCAGCTACTGAGTTCAGTGGTTGGATGCAATGTGTGATACTGTGAGCTGTGGATGTAATTTGGAATATTCTTCACCTGTGATCAACGTGATGTTGTGAACTGCAGATTCCAACAATGGCACAGTTCCCATTGCCACAGAAGTGGTGGCGCCTTATGTGATTTAAAATTAATTGCATGTGCAGCTGTTGATCTATTTATGACTGCTGCTTCCATTTATGATGAACTGCATTTCTAACATCGGACTGTTGGTGTTAGCACTTCTGATGGCTGCCTTATGCTTTTAATGCATGTGTATGCTAGTGGATATGCTGAGACTGCAGTCTATGTCACTTTTTCCACAAGGGACAGTGATGGACATTCTTTGTGTTTGTCGTTGGCACAGGAGTGGGGCAACTTTAGGGTGCTAGATATCAAGCTGAAACTAATATTACCAGACTATCAGCCTTCAATAAATGAAGATCAGCTAATTTAATACATTAGAAAGAGCATGTGGTAGATCCATACTTTTTAGTTGTATAAACACCTCATTAATGACACACACACACTCCCTCGACAAATGAAACAGTTGCAGATTGTAACTCTGCTTGTTCATACAACAGGTAGAGATGACTATGGTCAAGCCAACAAGTTTGGCAGTCCAGGACAGTTTGGCAGCCCAAGTGGTGGCCACATGCTGGCCTCTGACCTGAAGATGTACCCCGACACAGGGGTTGGTTTCATGAAGTCTGGCGGAGCCTCCTACCAGCCCTCTTTTAATCAGACTGGTGTGGGGCCTGGCTACCAACCGTCTGTGGGTGGTGGAGGTGGCTGGAAGAAGGCAGCTCCCTTGCCAGCTGTTGGTGGCAACAAGAAACCCAGCGAGGCCGTCAGTTACGGACCAGGGCCCCGGAGAACAGACTGGGCATCCAAGTAAGTTTGCCATCTAATTCTGCTCTTGTGATTTGTTTTCTTGATTGCTGATGAAGGTTTATTGCCACATCATCCTGCTTTTTGTGAATTTATTCTAGTAAAGCTGATTGTCTTCATATTACATTTTAGTTTACATTTTCAATGTGACCACAGTTAAACCCATTTTGTAACTGAATGTCGGCCTGTGTTTGTCATGCCAGCACAGATGTACACATGTCTGTGCATACATGTGTGTGTAGAACAGCCAGCACAGATGTACACATGTCTGTGCATACATGTGTGTGTAGAACAGCCAGCACAGATGTACATATGTCTGTGCATACATGTGTGTGTAGAACAGCAAGCACAGATGTACATATGTCTGTGCATACATGTGTGTGTAGAACAGCAAGCACAGATGTACATATGTCTGTGCATACATGTGTGTGTAGAACAGCAAGCACAGATGTACATATGTCTGTGCATACATTGTGTGTAGAACAGCCAGCACAGATGTACATATGTCTGTGCATACATGTGTGTGTAGAACAGCAAGCACAGATGTACATATGTCTGTGCATACATTGTGTGTAGAACAGCCAGCACAGATGTACATATGTCTGTGCATACATGTGTGTGTACAACAGCAAGCACAGATGTACACATGTCTGTGCATACATTGTGTGTAGAACAGCCAGCACAGATGTACATATGTCTGTGCATACATGTGTGTGTAGAACAGCAAGCACAGATGTACACACATCTGTGCATACAAGTGTGTGTAGAACAGCAAGCACAGATGTATACATGTCTGTGCATACATGTGTGTGTAGAACAGCCAGCACAGATGTACACATGTCTGTGCATACATGTGTGTGTAGAACAGCCAGCACAGATGTACACATGTCTGTGCATACATGTGTGTGTAGAACAGCCAGCACAGATGTATACATGTCTGTGCATACATGTGTGTGTAGAACAGCCAGCACAGATGTATACATGTCTGTGCATACATGTGTGTGTAGAACAGCCAGCACAGATGTATACATGTCTGTGCATACATGTGTGTGTAGAACAGCCAGCACAGATGTACACATGTCTGTGCATACATGTGTGTGTAGAACAGCCAGCACACAGTTTGAACACAGTTAAAATCATTCCTTATGTGTATGTAAGCACGCACGGCTCTGACACCAGTCACTGTGATATTTTGACAGGTACCTCAAGTCCTGAGTGTGTGTGCACCTCTGGATTGCCACAATGAATTTGGATGTGTGACCTGGGTGTTCCCAGAGCAGAGGAACTTGATGTCCCAGGCCAACCCTGATATGTCAGGGCAGGAGGAACACACATGGGCAGCAGGCTGGAGCCAGACGGAGGGGTTCGAGTGTTGTTTGTGGGGTTGGGAAGTGGGGGGAATGAATATGAAAGATAAATGTTTCTGGATTGTAGAGTGTTTGTATCTCTGTGTTTTATTGTATCTATGTGTATCCATTGTTTGGGTCAAGGGACAATATTTGTGCCCCTGGCATTGAATCAAATGTTGCCAGCCAAGGCTAAGGGCCTGGTTTTTCTAGGATAAGGCTAGAATACATCCAAACGCATTCCTCCAGCCTTCTTGACATGAAAGCCGAGACATTTGAACCTTTCAGCAGGTACATCTAAGTCCAGAGTTCACATATTTTTGTCAGCACATACTATCATGTTCTCTTGTTGCAGCAATATTTACCTTGCCGATTGGCTAATGGGCAGCTATTTCAGATTTCCAACTTCCAAGGGTTTGTAATGCTTCCCTATGCCCTCGGGTTTATTGGTCCTTATCCGAGAAAGCTAGGCACACCACCCAGTAACTAGAGATCAGAGGAAGCTATTTCACCATGGCCCCTGATTGTCCTCAGTTGGACCTGAACAGTGCCTTTTATGTTAAAGGCTGTAGCTGTATCTCTTGACCAAGTTGTCGCACTTGGTCAGATCTGAAAGGTTGGCAAGTTTGTACTTGGCTTTATGCCTGTGACCTTGACTGTTTTGGTGGACAAGGTCAAGGTTATATTAGTTTCATGTGGCATCCTTACATGTCAGACACAGTGTTTTGTTGAAAACCTGGCAAGTGATGGTTCAATTTTTTGTGTTGTTTGTGATGAAACTGTTGTGAAATAACGGCATGATGTCATTGCTGCACCACAGTCATCATGTCAGATGATTCCCCTGTTTGTACGCATCACGCGCACCAGGCCAACATTACTTAAGTCTTTGAGTCCCAAGGAACACAGCATACGTTCCTACCTAGAAGCCAAGTGAACATAAGATGTGTCTTGGGCTTCTGGGGCTAAACTTCCTTGGGCTCAAAGTGTTACTGTTAATGGACACTACACAAAAATCACCTATCTGCTAAATCGTTATTTCAAGAAAATCAAATTTGAGAAGTCGTCGTCGTCATCATCTAGCATGTTCTGTACAGAACGTCGCTCTCATCAGGATCTGCCTCAAAGAATTCAGCCTCACCAAATCTCCCACACTTTCATACCAAAGGAGTCGGCTTATTTCCTCTGCCCACCTTCATGCTGGTCGGCCCCTGCTCCTCCTTCCTGGCACCATGCCTTTTGCTATTATTCCTTTCCAATCCGTTGTGACGTTTAATATGGCCAAAACTGTTCAGCTTCCAAGACAAGATGTTGTTTATTAGTCAGTCTTTATTGGTGTTCAGATCTTTTAGAATGTCAGTATTTCTTTCCTTCTTTGTCCATGATATTCTGACAATCTTTCGGTAGCATTTCGGATCGAAAGCTCCTATTTCCTTCCTCAAGCACCGGGAGATAGTCCATGACTTTCATCTGCATGTTTCTACAGGGAAAATGCCTGCTCTCAAAATTATGACTGTCATTTTTTGGCTTGCTGGTAAGACGTTACATTTTCATCTTACATTTCTTGGGAAAATAATGTGGTAGTTGAGTGGCAGATGAAAACTGTGTAGTTGCCTGACAAGTCAGACCTTATTTTGACTTGCTTGGAGTGGGGATTGAGAAATCACATTTGTGCCTCTGCCAATTTGTAAAGTGTCAAAAAGCTGCCTAAAAATGCACTTTAGGAAAAACTGCCACAATTCCATGTTGTTGACTTTGGCTTATTGTTGGTGATATTATGTACATGTGTTACATTTTCTTGATGGTTGTGTCTTGTGTAACAGTAACATAGAAACACACGTACACAAGTTTATCTGCATACAGACACCAATAGTGATTGTTGCAGACCACAGTGAGCAATGCAGTGTCCATCACACACATATCTGATGAGGTGATCAGTTTTGTCTCTGTCATGCTAACCAAGACAAATGTCACTAAAACAATACTTGTAGATATAGCACGTCACTTAGATAAGCTTCTCAGTTGTCTCTGTCATGCTAACCAAGACAAATGTCACTAAAACAATACTTGTAGATATAGCACGTCACTTAGATAAGCTTCTCAGTTGTCTCTGTCATGCTAACCAAGACAAATGTCACCTAAAACAATACTTGTAGATATAGCACGTCACTTAGATAAGCTTCTCGGTTGTCTCTGTCATGCTAACCAAGACAAATGTCACTAAAACAATACTTGTAGATATAGCACGTCACTTAGATAAGCTTCTCGGTTGTCTCTGTCATGCTAACCAAGACAAATGTCACTAAAACATTACTTGTAGATATAGCACGTCACTTAGATAAGCTTCTCAGTTGTCTCTGTCATGCTAACCAAGACAAATGTCACTAAAACATTACTTGTAGATATAGCACGTCACTTAGATAAGCTTCTCGGTTGTCTCTGTCATGCTAACCAAGACAAATGTCACTAAAACAATACTTGTAGATATAGCACGTCACTTAGATAAGCTTCTCGGTTGTCTCTGTCATGCTAACCAAGACAAATGTCACTAAAACATTACTTGTAGATATAGCACGTCACTTAGATAAGCTTCTCGGTTGTCTCTGTCATGCTAACCAAGACAAATGTCACTAAAACATTACTTGTAGATATAGCACGTCACTTAGATAAGCTTCTCAGTTGTCTCTGTCATGCTAACCAAGACAAATGTCACTAAAACAATACTTGTAGATATAGCACGTCACTTAGATAAGCTTCTCGGTTGTCTCTGTCATGCTAACCAAGACAAATGTCACTAAAACAATACTTGTAGATATAGCACGTCACTTAGATAAGCTTCTCGGTTGTCTCTGTCATGCTAACCAAGACAAATGTCACTAAAACAATACTTGTAGATATAGCACGTCACTTAGATAAGCTTCTCAGTTGTCTCTGTCATGCTAACCAAGACAAATGTCACTAAAACAATACTTGTAGATATAGCACGTCACTTAGATAAGCTTCTCAGTTGTCTCTGTCATGCTAACCAAGACAAATGTCACTAAAACATTACTTGTAGATATAGCACGTCACTTAGATAAGCTTCTCGGTTGTCTCTGTCATGCTAACCAAGACAAATGTCACTAAAACATTACTTGTAGATATAGCACGTCACTTAGATAAGCTTCTCGGTTGTCTCTGTCATGCTAACCAAGACAAATGTCACTAAAACAATACTTGTAGATATAGCACGTCACTTAGATAAGCTTCTCGGTTGTCTCTGTCATGCTAACCAAGACAAATGTCACTAAAACAATACTTGTAGATATAGCACGTCACTTAGATAAGCTTCTCAGTTGTCTCTGTCATGCTAACCAAGACAAATGTCACTAAAACATTACTTGTAGATATAGCACGTCACTTAGATAAGCTTCTCGGTTGTCTCTGTCATGCTAACCAAGACAAATGTCACTAAAACATTACTTGTAGATATAGCACGTCACTTAGATAACCTTCTCGGTTGTCTCTGTCATGCTAACCAAGACAAATGTCACTAAAACATTACTTGTAGATATAGCACGTCACTTAGATAAGCTTCTCAGTTGTCTCTGAATGCAAATTCCATGTCCCATTACTCTTCCATATATTTGATGATCCAGATTAGTCATAGTGAGTGCCCTTGAATGGCAGACAAGTTGCCCTGCTTGAATGCCTTAGATTACTTTGATGATGTTAATGAAGCATTTAATGGATACAATCTTGACAGGGTGATGACAAGTGACAATTTTAATAATACATCCCTTGTGTTGTATTCTGTGTGGGTTTAGGGGGGGGGGGGCAGTAAGCTACCCCTGTTGGGGATGGACCCAGGAGCTCTAACAGTTGTCAGTAAGCTACCCCTGTTGGGGATGGACCCAGGAGCTCTAACAGTTGTCAGTAGCTACCCCTGTTGGGGATGGACCCAGGAGCTCTAACAGGCGTCAGTAAGCTACCCCTGTTGGGGATGGACCCAGGAGCTCTAACAGTTGTCAGTAAGCTACCCCTGTTGGGGATGGACCCAGGAGCTCTAACAGTTGTCAGTAAGCTTCCCCTGTTGGGGATGGACCCAGGAGCTCTGGTGCTGGCTATTTCATTGGTGGCTTCCACCATTTCAGTCGGATGTTTTCTTGATAACACAGGTCCTAGGTCATGTAACCTTGACCCTGTTTTCTTAAAGGTAGGGGGTATGTTGATGAAATCAGCCATCAAAGGCCTAGGTTTCCTATTTGGGGGTCTGTAGAAATTATTTTAAGGCTCCTTAAATCATTAAAAAAAAAAGTATTTAACTTTACAATGCAATCATTTCTGCAGATCTGAGCTCATTGAGTGTTTCAGTGTGGCTGTTATAATGTGTTGTGTCTGGGGCAGAGTTTTGACAATAACAGGAGTCTGCAGATCTGAGCTCATTGAGTGTTTCAGTGTGGCTGTTATAATGTGTTGTGTCTGGGGCAGAGTTTTGACAATAACAGGAGTCTGCAGATCTGAGCTCATTGAGTGTTTCAGTGTGGCTGTTATAATGTGTTGTGTCTGGGGCAGAGTTTTGACAATAACAGGAGTCTGCAGATCTGAGCTCATTGAGTGTTTCAGTGTGGCTGTTATAATGTGTTGTGTCTGGGGCAGAGTTTTGACAATAACAGGAGTCTGCAGATCTGAGCTCATTGAGGAACCACTGGCTCGGGTTCAGACATGCTGAGTGTAACACTGTATCTCTTATGTGTGGGGAGATGGCTGTTTGAGGCAATTTCCTTCACATACTGAGGTTTCCAGCAAGTATTTGCTGAATGTCTGCCATCATCACAGGCCTTCCTTCTCAGAGCATACACTGTCTTTGACAGGCTTCATCCTGTTGGAGAC